ACAGGGGGCGCCATTCAAAATTCTGCTGTTGGCAAGTAAAAGTAAAAACATGTAAAAAAAAAAAAGGCTATAAAACACTTTTATGATAAAGGAAGTGCACTTTATGTTTGATAAATCTCAGGGATGTACTCAGTGAATATTGATGAGTATTAACATTCACTTAAAACCAAAACAATGAGCTCAGACTGTGAAAAGGCAGAAGTGACTGAACCTGCAGTCAGGTGACGGTATGTACACCTTTCACATTACACTTGGTCATGTAACATATTAAAATCTAGCTGCTGCAATAAGAGTAATGGCTCAGAAAGCAATATACTCACATAAGAAAATAAAAGTGAATGATCTGAAAATGTGGCGACACATCCATGTGTTGACACCACCCACCTTTCTCCTCCATCTTTTTTTCTACCCATTTTACAGTCTCTTTCTTCAGGCCCTTGGGCATTTAGGCTCCACAGGGGCGTGTATATACAATTATACCACTTCTCTGAGCACAGCAGTGACACATCGATTGACACAAGCGACAAGCGCTCTTATCACACTGACATGATGCAGTGCTAGGCGAGCATCATTAGACTGATCAGCCAATGGCAGCGGCTCGTTAGACACCCCCCCCCCTCCCCCCCGGGGGACTGGACATGCAGCTCTGGCTCTATTGCAGATATCATAAGAGGAAGAGCAGTGATGAAGTGATGGAGAGCGGAAGAGAGATTATAAACCTTGGAGGGTTTATGTTATGTATTAGACTTTACGTTTGCATGCTCTCGTGTATGTACAGAATGTGTGTGTGTATGATGTTGGTCACGGTTCCTTCAGAGCAACAAAACTCCTTCATCCACATCATGTTCACGTGGATTTTACTGCAGACGGTTGTCAAATCTGTAAGCGGCTGTTGAAGCGTTCAAGCTTCCAGATCATGTGATCCCTCAGTCATGTGGAAATTTTGACCGCCTCAAACAGCACAACAAAGAGAGTGAGATCATTTTCAAAGTCTGCGTTGGGGATAGGTTGTGCCCTGAGGACAAATCCTTCTCTGTGGGAATGATTTGGCCCATTTCTGATCTACCTGTGGTATTTATAGGCAAATGTTCTCATATTTCTATGCTCCACTTATAAGCCCTCAAAAAGGTACCTTCACACACGTATATGAAAAAAATGTATTAGCATAGGCAAGAAGAAAATTCAGATTTTCTTTTTCTCTATTTACTGCTCTTCTTTCCGGGATTAATTTGTATATTGATTACTGTCCCTGGCTGAATGAGCTGCCCATGTATCAGGGTAAAACACTGGCACATCTGTGTGTGTTTTAGAGCCAACTAACCTCACCTTCACACCTGTTCGCCAGCTCCAGCTACTTAATCCCATTTACAGAGACAACAGGTTAAATTATTCTCGGTTTAAATGAAAGCTCCTCCAGTTTCCATGAGGAGGTGTAGAGACACTGTTTCATAGATAAGGGCAGTGTGGGCATGTGTGTGCTTCTCGTTTACTTGTTTATTCTGAAACCCTGACTCATCACTGACAACACGTCAAAAGCCTTTTTGTCCTCTCACATGTTAAGCAGATGCATCAGTCAATAGAAAGAAAATGCTGTTATTAGCAGAACATCTTGGACCAGATGAAACAGCCTGTGCCTCGACTCCCACCTCTTTTGTCCGTTGTCTTCTTTTACTTAATCCTCACTCCTCCCTCCAACGAGCAGAGTGACTTCTTAGATGACTTCGAGGCGGATGTCACGATTATTTTCTTTTAAATAGTGGAGCAAGCGATGCAGCTCGCTGTGTTGTCATTTGCGTAAGCAGTTAGCCAGATATGGTTACAGCCTTCTGAACACGCCTCGGAAAGTAAATTAAGAACATTGTGTTAAGCGCGAGCAGAGGGTTCGCCAAGATCATCGCACTGACAGAGAAATTCATCACTAAATCTATCTAAGCAATTACTGATGTCAGCATCAAACTGACGAACAGTTCTCTGCTGCCTGTCTCCAGCCTCGCTCTCCCCTTCAACCACTCTTCTCTCTATTTGTTTACCATGCTCCTGACTGTGGAACAATGCAGCGACCTTTGCAGAAATAATTCTATTACGTAAGTTGAGTAATTGCTCTGGATGTGGAAGAGGAGTGTCCACTGCTCCTCTTGCTTGGCCCACAGCTCCTATGTCCTTGGATTTAAAGGAAAGTCTGCGGTATTAATAGAACCTGACAAGGAGAGGCCCACTCAGAAAACAGAGGAGAGGAGAGGAGAAGGAGAAGGAGAGGAGGTGGAGAATGGAGGAGAGGAGAGAAGTAAAAAAGACCAAAACAAAAAGGGATAAGATGTGAGACGACAGCGAGATGAGATGAGCATGACAAAAGCAGTGAGCCAGAACCAAGCAGGATGAAAATACTAAAAAAAGATTCCATCCTGATTTTTCTAAGTTGCACTGGGTATGACATGTACCTCCAGATTGTCCACGCGGGCATGACAATGGCCTGTGCGGCGCAAAGAGCTCGGCAAATTCCTTCTTTGTGTCTTGTTCCCATAAGTAATGGTGCACAGTCACAAGGTGCAGGCTGCAGGGGTGCACAAGAATAAATGGAAGGAGAGTAACTAGTTCTCGCCTGCTAAGGTTCTTTTTCTTTTTTTCCCCTTCTCTGCCACGTAGAGCCCTGTTGGCTACAATGGGGAAGTGCAGCGAGGTCACAGAGGCTTGACGCTAACAACTGGCTTTACAGGCAGAAATGTTCACTTTACTTTGTTCAAGTTTCTTCATTTGGACAATGGGTAGAGAGCGAGTCAGAGAGGGAAGACAATTACTGATATTTGCTGCCAGCTATCAGATAGAGGCCTCCCTCTATCTGATAGCTGGCAGCAAATATCAGTAATGGGGGGGTGCAGAGAGAAACAGAGGAAGAAGCTCCACTCTCACATTGTTAATTAGAATCTCTCTCTCAGCCCTGGGCTCAGTGAATAAGAGGCAGTCACAGAACACACGCAAGCACATGCAGGGCAGAACCAGTCTTCACCGATTTCATTTTGATCAAGCTACTCCAATCGAGGAATAAAACTGTTGGTAATGTGATTGTGCTGCACTACACTGGATTTTGCATCATTTAGGAGATCTCTCAGTATCGTCTCTGTGATCCATAAGTACAGAAATTGGCCTTTGTTTTTTTTTTAAGGGGTGGGGGGGGGGTAAAGATAAAGAAAGAGAGAGACATACAACAGCAAAGCTGATTTCTTGCTCAGGGGAATGCATCTCATTTTCTCCCAGCACGGAGGGACAGTGTGCGGTCTTGATTGTGGATTTACTGCCCCCTGGTGCTGTGAGACTGCACTGCTGAGCTCACCAAGCCCCCCCCACAGGGCCACAGGCTGCCATCAGAGTCAACATCAGAAGATTGGGTCAATCCATGAGAAATTAACTATATTTCTAGTGCTGTGCACTTTCTGATGTGTAAACTCCAGTGAAGTTACCAAACTGCCTGTTTGCTTTGACTTTGCCTCTTTATCCTTTTTCCATTTCGCTTCCGTTATTTATTTTCCTGCTACTCGCACAGGAAATGAAAAGAAATTGCTTGAAAGTGCACAGAAAGAAAGAGAAAATAAAGTACAAAATTCCCATTTAGGGAAATACCGCTGCTATTATAAGCTGGGACAGTCCAGTCAATATTAATGAACATCTATCTCCAAAACAAGAAGAGCTAAGACTTAAATCCTCAGTGTCATGAAGATGTGAAATAAGTTACCGAGCTCTTGTGTTTCAAGAAGAAATATGTCTATGTCAATATGAAATCAATGAAACGTCACTCTAACTCATCCCATGCTGCAGCAGGAGGTGAATTAATGAGTGCTCCCAATCACTAATAAACATAAACACACAGCTCCCATCACTGATTGAGAACTGGAGTCGATCATTCGCTCTGCACAGAAACCACTGCGCCAGCTGATCTTTTGCAGAGAGAGAGAAATATAAGAGTGAGAAGGAAAAGCACCAAAAAAAAAAAGGGACGTGAGAAAAAATAGAAAATTGGGAGAGATATGAAGTCGTACACAGCGGCCAGGTCTAATGTCAGAAAGGTCTGCGTGATTAGGGGATGCCAGCGCTCACAGAGAGCAGCTATTCTAACAGCCTCCACCACCTCATTAGTCTGGCCCAGCAGCAGCATGCCCCCGCTATTAACCGCTAAATGAAAGACCGCCAACCGTGATTACTGAGGGGAAGTCCCCCTGTCGTCATGGGGATAACAGATCTCTACACACACACACTCACACAAAGTCACTCTTCAACTTCTACAATAGCCATTTGAAGGGCGTTCATGAAGGGACGACTGAGGCAGAAGTAGATATTTTACACATCATCAGTCACAGTCGTTCACTGCAAAGCTCAAAATGTGAACGCTCAGAACATCAAGCAAACCTGTTAGCGACAATTGGCGGCATCTCTCAGTGGCTTCATTTAAAGATCACATGAAGCTTTCAGCACCACTTTCATGCAGCAAATCTGGCAAAGGCTTAACGGACACACGAGTCGAACGGGCGCGGAGTCCTTGAGTCAAGGATACGGGACTCAGTGTTGATGGGTAAATCCAATTTAGGTGGGCATGGATTTGAATTTGTATGTAAATGTGTGTGTGTGTCATTTTCATGCATATTATTTGAATGATATATATAGATGCACTTCTTTACGCAGGATATTGTTATGTAATGTGAGTGTAATGCAACTGTGTGTGTTGACGGATTGCACACGTTAAAGAAGCCAATTTTATACTGAATATTCATAAAGGGAACATTTGCAACAGAGGTCAAGATATCTTGTTTTGCCCCCCCTTTGGGCAAGCTGCAAAAACACATCCAACATTTCCCTTAATGCACCTCAGCTATTGTGAGCAACTTTCTCAGTTTTCCCAAAGCTCCATCCACAGCCCAAGACAACATCATACAGCAGCTTTCAGATGCCTTCAGTGTAGCGCTTCTATAATGCACCAAAAATGGTGGATCTTAAGGTTCAGCAGTACTCACGGTCATTGCAGTGAGTCCCGGTGTAAGACGTCATGGAGCAGTCACAAGTGAAGTTCTCCCACTGCTGGATACACACACCCATGTTGGCGCACGAGTCCTCCTGGCAGGTCGTACTTGGGCCTGGGAAAAGGTGGGACGGAGAGAGAGAGAGAGAGAGAGACAGAGAGAGAGGGGAAAGGAAGGAAGAAAGAGATACCACAGGGAGCACAGTCAAGCAACAATAAGAGACACTTCTGAGCCTTAACAATGCAGGACCCATGCAGAAGATATGCACTGGAGGGATAGATATACAGCATGTGGGCCTAGAAGAAAGAACAAGGAGCAAACTGTGCCACCACAGGGAGCCTGACATGGAGTACAACACACTTCAAAACAGTCTGGGGAATCCTGTTTCATGCTGGGTAAAGCATGGCGCTTCCAAGACGAAGAGGAGGCACCAGGCTTTTGCAGGATCAACCGCACTCAAGCGGTGGGAACGTCGGCATGTGCCCTGAATTAATTACTGCGAAACTTCAGCGCAGGGATGGCAGCTGGCCTCTGATGTGCGTTTAAGATCACATCACTGCAGCTGAATTGGGCCCCAGCCTGGCTGATGTGATGACACCGTCAACATCCCTTCAGTTTGTTCTTTTTTGAGAGTGCGTGGAGGTGGACTCGCATGCAATATTTCATCATTCCAACATGTTTAAGATAAAGTTTTAACAGAGTAAAACTTAGAACGCTGCATTCTCTCTATGAACAAGCAAGACAAGACATAGAACATTTTAACAAATGACTCATGGATAAATAAAAACGTCTTCAAAATAACCCTTTTTAAAAAAAAAAGACGTTAAAGTGGCCTTGGCAATAATAAGCTTCCGAAACATTGACTTCACTGTGAAGACGGTAAACACTAGACACACTCGAAAGACAGAATTCATGAGCGGAGGTGAAGAGAAAAACAAAGAGCACTTGTGAACATGTATTGCATATCCTAATGGGTAGGAGTGTATTCAAAGTCAAACTGGATGTGTGTTTGCTGTTCCTCGGCACCACACATAGCTCTTCCTTTTGAATACTTTTACCGAGAGGCAATGCAGAGAAGGACAAGTGCACAGCATAGATAACAAGATAAACATTCCCCCCGTCTAGACAGACATGAGGGTTGTCAACCCTCAACAGAAATCCTTCTGATCACCACGTAAGAAACAAACGAAATGAAAGAAGGTGAAATTAAATTAACAGTCCAAATAAATGGCAGACAAGTGCAAGTAAACTGTGTTTAAGAGCAATTGTCTTGTGCAAGACAACATGAAGGGGAGACACTAGAAGTTTGCCAGCTGAAAGTGCATTTACTGTGTAATGTATAGTAATGGTGGTCGACCAGGCACCCCCCCCCATGAAGTGATCATACATGTTTCCCTATATGGTAAAGGTGTGAATCTCATGTCTGTATGCACACACATGGTCACTCGTTTTTTTATGCAGGCAACGGAGCATTTCACCGTATTTTTTAGTGTTGCAGCAGGAGGCAGCTCGCTCTCTGAAAAACCCTCATTTGTGAAGAGTAGCAAACATGATGGGTTGTTGAGAGAAGATGAAAAAAGAGAGAGAGACAGAGGTCTGACAGGGTTTGGATGTGCAGTGACAGCTTCTTTCTGTCACCTCGACTGACATTTTTATACAGAGAACACAGAACTCTTCTTGTCCGCCTCTGCTTTTAGATGATCTGCATGACTGCCACATATCTCTATGTGAATGTCACTTATCTGACCTGATCTGTTCACTGTCATTAATCATACTGTGTAAAAGTATTTGCAACTAGTGTGTAAGTATGGCCCATTGCCTAGGCTGGTAGTTAGACTTAGAACTTAAGGACAGAATTAAAATGTGTTGTAAATTCCATTAATGTAACCGGCTAACACATACAAATCAATGTTCTCTGTGTTAATGGTCATATCTATGTCAATGTATATATATGTCTGTATCTACATCTATGTATATGCATATGTTTTTGTCTATATCCATGTCTATGTCGACGTATACATTTATGACTTGGAATATGTCTATTTATGTGTGGGTGTGTGAGTGTGTCTATAAAAATACACTAACATCTCCTTTTGTTGCTTGATCACTTGTTATTCCTGCCTGTCCTCTCTGTCTCGCTCTCTTTTTGTTCTTCCCCGCATTCGTTTTTCTTTTCAGAGAGCAAGTCCCCTCTGCAGGCACCAGCGGGACAACATTTCCATGGCGACACCCACGATGCATTGCACACAGCAGACTTTCAGGCAGGCAGGCCTCCGAGAGAGGTGGAGTTAACCCTCTACCTTGCAGGTCGGCTTTGGTGAAACCAACTTTGTTAGCGCAGAAAGAAAAAAGTAACAAACAGAACAGAGCAGAGAGCGGAAAACGAGGAAAGGTTAGTGAGGGACCAGCATTGTTAGACGTCTGAACACCTACACAGAGTGTAATATAGGCTGCTGATTTGTTAGTGGGGGGTCAGCTGATGTGTCAGCTCATATATAGTGGCATCTTCTTCATATACAGATGTGTTTGGCTTTAAATATGAAGCGTGTTCTTCATGAAAGCTTCTTATCTTAATCTTCTACTGCCCCCTACAGGAGGGCATGCACCATACATAGGGACCATCATATTTTTGGAAACATAATTAACATTTAAATGGGCAAAATAATAATCTACTAAGCCCTAAATTGGTCCAAAGAGTTTTGGTGTGAGAATATAGCAGAATATCTAACATGGATGGAACCAACTTCAAGGTAAATGTGATGTGTCATTAAAAAACAATAATAAAGAGGCTAAATAAATGATATCGCTGCACAAATGCCACGTGAGCAAAGTTTTTATATTCTGATCTGGAAACTAGGTTGTTTGTCTTGAGAAGGTAATTTCAAAGTATGTAGAGGGGAAAACATCTCGAGGAGCAACCCAGCATCATTGAGAGGTTGAATAAAAAATATCATACATTTTTAAATAATGGTCTTAGGCCTGAACGTATATGTGTAAGTATTTTTAACACTTGTATTTGTTTTAATTTTTAGGTTTTAATAAATTCCGCTAATTGATAATATGTTTATGCAACATAAAAAGTTAACAAGCCCTTATTAGAGAAACTAAAGACAAATTTAAACCTATCCTGAGACAAATGGCCGGTGAAGAAAGAGAAAATAGGATTAGGATTAACAATGCCAGCGGATGGCTTTAAGGGCCACTGAAGAGAATCTAATTAGACTAATAAATCTCATGAGGCAGGTCATGATTCTTCTATGCTACAGGCCATCTGTACCTTCACAGCCACGCTCAATCTGCCCGCTGCGGAAAAGGGCGTCATTGATGAGGTCTGGCAGGCGGCCGTTCAGGTCGACTGAGGCCAAGCAGCCCTGGAAGCCCTCACGGGAAACCACCAGCTTCGGGAGGTTCTGGTACATGTTGGGTCCCAGACCTCCGATGAACAGGTCACCTGAAGGAAGACGAGGGGGGAGGGAGGGGGCACATTAGTGATAAAATGAAGATATCAGGCTTATTCAGAGAGGATCCTATGAAAGTCACTCAATGAAATACGACTATGAAATCTGATGAATTATGTCTAATGAACAATTTCTTTCAAACGGAGCACATTTGTTGATTTTGAAACAAACCTCAGTTCAAAGTAACTATTTAATCATAACTTCTTTTCTTAGAGAGCATCTGGGCCACGGTGAAGAAATTCTGATATTTGTGAGTCGTAAATTTAAAGGAATAAAGTTGGAATATTACCACAGTAAAGTTGTGGTAACTTTATAAAAACATTTTAGGCTAGACGTGTTACAGGGGAATATCAGATGATCAGTATTTTGCCTGTGTTCAAATATTCTTAAATATTACAAGTTTACCAACGTTTTTCTTGTAAACTTACAACTTTCTTTTCATAATAGTACTTCTGTCTTGAAATCAGACATTTATTTCTCATTTAATGGGCCCTAATACTTGTACACTGTACTGTTCCTCCATTTCTTCATTTACCTAAACTCCACCTCTAAATCATTGTACGATGACTGATAGTAGTACTATGGGAATCATATTGTGAGTACCATCTGAACTGTGACCTCATGTAATGTTCGAATGTGGCTTTTATTTAAATATGTATGTACCTCTAAAAGTATAAGAGATTATTTATTACAGTGCTTTTTGTAACATAGGATATGAGGGTATTTCATAACGGAAAATGTTAAAATCTCTGAAGCAAAACAAAACAAAGGGGTGAGCATGAAGTATTGTGTGTGTATGTCGAGATGCTGAGCGGGCTGCATGATATTTTTTCGCCTCAATCATGAAGATGGTGGTACCTTTGAGGTCGAGGTTCTTGGCTCCGTTGACATTCTGGGTAACTGACTTTGAGTCCACCTTCAGAGTGTGTGTGTTGGCGACATCGCGCGTGATGACAACGTTGTGCCACTGGTTGTCGTTCAGCGGGTTGTCACTGTTCCCCTTCAATAGACTCGGCCCATTCCCCAGGTCGAACACGTAGTGGATAAACCTGGCATGAACGAAGCAGGAGATGAACACATCAGGGTTTGTTTGTTTGTTCGTGTTTGTTCGTGTGTGTNCATCAGGGTTTGTTTGTTTGTTCGTGTTTGTTCGTGTGTGTTCGTGTGTGTGTGTGTGTGTGTGTGTGTGTGTGTGTGTGTGTGTGTGTGTGTGTGTGTGTGTGCACTTGTAATTCATGTCTTATTTTATTCTCCCAGACTGACTGATTTCATCAGAAGACTCTCACATGGACACTTATAATAGCACCAAACAACAACAAACTACTGGTACTAGTAGCTAGTTACGATACTGTCGAGATTCTTCATTAATCCAAATCTTCAAAAATGAATTGTCAGATAACTGGAGAAAAGTGGGGAGATAAAAGCAAACCACTCACACTTTTCCTTCTTGCGACCCGTTTTACAAATCATTTTGGGCATTCAGTCAGTGAGTACTTTAATATGTTTGATGTATTTTTAATATGGGGAAAAAGTGAATCCTGAATATGTCATTATTGGAAAGCACCAGCAGATCTCAGGCAGAAATGAATCAGTGTCTATGTAGGATCTCAGCCCTGAAGCAAATAACTGGTTAAGAAACGGCAATGCAATTAATTTAGAAAACACAAGAAATCTGAGGAAAGTAGAGAAGAGTTAGAAATGAAGAGACAGAGTATATGTTGGTTTAAATGGAAGAGATAATCTAGGATAGAATCTGCAGAGAAGCAAAGAATCCTTTCATTCATTTCCTGGAGGCACAGTTACACATACACGAAGCAAAGAACGTTCAACAAAGTTAAACTCAGCACAAAGCCGCGCAGTGCTCACACACATTGGAAGATAACAGGAGGCACAGAGTCGCCACTGCTACATTTGTGTATGAGTGACTGTTAACCATAGTTGCTACTTAACTAACCCTACTCCTTACCATGACCTAAACTTAAACCATGTCTTCACCTTAAACTTTAATGATTCACTTTATTGAGGCTTTTTGTCCCCATGTGGAAAACAAGTTCCCTCAATGTGACTGTCCAAACAGATTTAAGTCCCCACAACATGAATACTACATGAATACTACTTGTAGGAGGAACAGGCATGAACTATGTATATACTGGTGCATACATGTGTGTAAAAGTACCATATGGACGATTAACTCTTTATCCTTTCTGTTTACATTCTTCTGATAATGTCACAGGATGTATGAAAAATCTAACAATCACTCTGAACTGAAAGAAAACAATCTTTACTTCAACAAGTTTTAATTTTTACAAGCTCACAAAAGGTGAAACACATTTTGGGATCAACAGTTGGCCAGGATTGATTACGCCTTTAGAAACCAACTATCGGAGCTGCTATATTAAATGCATCATAATATAATAGTCTCTGTACACAACCAAGGACTAAAACATCAACAAGTCACCTTCAGCGTCTCACTCACCCTTTGACCAATTCCACGGCGATGAAGTCATTCCCATCTCCGCTGTTAAAGACGATGAAACCGTCAGGTGACGTGGTTTTGAACTGAAAGAAGAGGTGCATTGTGGTATAGGCCTGCAGCGTAGCCAAGCCCAGGTAACTGCCCTTGGTCTTGAAGGTCACGGGGTCAGCGATGATGAAGCGCATGCCAAAACGGGCGTTGAGCTCGCAGAAGTCGATGTCCCCGTTCTTGCACATGTCGATGTACTGCATGCCGTTAAACTTCAGGCTCTGTGGGGAGAGTTGGTGACAGATGGTGTTAAAAAAACTGTGAAGCATAATTTACTTGATTAGACTTAATAGGATTTTGTATTTTGAGTCGTATCCAATCATAGAATTCACACATAATGAACACAGAGTTAGATGATAATCTGTACCTTTAATGTTAAAATTAGATGCATCCTCACAAACATACACCTGTTGACACTTTGGCCGACATACAGTAACCATGCATCTGTTGCTTCATGAATATATTACACCTCATACCTGAAGATGCCCAATGAAGGAGGAGGGAGCAGATGAAACGAAGCGCCTCTCAGTCAAAATACCCGTCTCCACGTTGTTGAACTCCAGACGGGTGTGGTCGCCCGCCATCTGGCCTGAGGTGCAGGAGGGAAGAGAGAAAGAGAAGAAGCCAGGGGGTGAGGGGGATACAGAGGAGGGAGGAGAAGCAACCTGGCCTTCATCTAACATTATGCAATAACCCCACCCAAGCTTACAGTCAAGTAAAAACTGACATACTGTGTAAAGACTCATTAGCTTATTATGAAATGGTGACATTATAGACCAGAACATGTATTGTTTCATCAGGCCAGTATTTCTATTCTCTCTAAAGGCCAGTGTGTAGGATTTAGAGGCATCTAGTGGTGAGGTTGCACACTGCAAACCAACTGAATATTCCCTCCCCCTAGTATCTCCAAGTGAGTTGGAAAAGTGTAGAAAAATTTAAACACACATAATCTCACACTACAGCTAGTGTTTGGTTTGTCTTCTCTGGGCTACTGTAGAAAGATGGAGGACTCTGTGAAAGAGGACCCAGTTCCTATGTAAATATTTACGGTTGTTTCTAAGTAATGAAAAAACATGTTGATCCTTAGTTTTAGGTGATTATATACTATTTAGGATGTAATCACAGATATTATATTCCATTGCTGTTCATAGGTCAGGTTCTAAACAATGGACCTTTAATTATCTGTCAGCATGGAGACAGTTTACATTTTTATATCCACCAAAGTAGTTGTTTTCTTTGCTTCTTTGACACTATCAGGACTTCTCAAAGAATAATGCAATGAACTTTATGAAAATAATCAGGCACATGTAGAGGACTATCATCTATGAATCAGTGTATCTCAACTTATGCATGTACATGCAATATGGTGATTAAGTGGCCAATCATCCTTGATGTATGTATGTGCTCCATTAGTGCCCTTTTAGTTATGAGAAGGTTTTATATAAAATTTACTTTACTGAATCACTGTCAAAAAAAGAGAAAAGAATCAAGCATGCATATCATGTATATAGTAAAACAGCCAGTGAGCAGTTCATGGGTAAAATACCTTCAGCCATGTCGTCATCCACAGTGAGTTTGAAGGTTTTACCGCGGCGGACTACTCGTACAGAGTGCCACTCATTGTCGTTGAGCTTTTGTCCAGCAAAAAGAACCTCAGGGCCTTTGCCTGAAGAGGAGGGTTAGTTAGTGAAGGGATGGGGAAGCACACACACACAAACCAAATCCATGTTTTCACAGCAAAAAGGTAACTGATCAGAAAATACTTAACAATATGTGTCGTCCAAAAAATATTATCTCAAATTGAAATGTTCTTATTTGGATATAGTTGGATTAAACAAAAATTTGGTTTGGATCAGACAACAGAGGAAAACAATACAAATCACAACTGACGGCAAAAATATAAATAGATATAAACACTTGCTGTGACTCATACAAGGACTCAACCAATGACTCAGCCCAAACAATCCAGAAAAAATCTGTAACATTTATGATAGCGTGTCTCTGCCTTGCTCGTTATTTTTGAATGATCCTTCCAAGTTAAACCTTTACTCCATTCCGACTGATTAAAATCTATTTACAAATGATAGATTACCACAAAATGTAGTTTTATTGCAGCTTTTAATGCAGTTGATGGTGCTTGTAGAGATTGGTTAGAGTTGAGTAATTCAGACAACTAACCACTAGGGGGCAGTCTAGCCCCACCATGTTAACCAAAAGGCAAGAGTCCTGCATCTGCTTAATAATATTAAACCGAGGTTTTAAACTCAGAAAACATTATTGTTTAGTTACTGATTTTCTGACCAGAAATATGATTTTACTAAACTTATATTGAATAATTCTAGTGTACAGTGTGATGTTGAAAAAAGCAACATAAAGACAGCAATTCACATGTGTAGATTCTTTAAACAGATCAAATTGTTTTGTTTTTTGAGAATATAAAAAGCACTTTATAACCGTGTTTTACAGGTTGCAGTCGCTGCATTGTGACTTCAATCCAAATGTGCAAATTTGACTTAACTTGATGAATTAATCATTCACTGAAGAATGAGATTTAAGTGACAAAAAATTGATTTCCATTGACGCTATATAAATCAATTCAATCTTAGTTGAATTATCATTATCTCTATTTGAATTTTAACTTAATTACCTAATGACAACTATCAATATTAACAGGCCTCTACAGTTTCTATCTTCAGTGAATTAAATAAGATGGGGTGAACTGAAACCCCTTAACTCTTTTTACTCCCTTTTTCTTGAGATGGTAAAAAAGAACTGAGTCATTTTTCCTGAGTAAGAGCATGGCTGCTAACACCATCTGTTTATCACATTACGGGTCTCTATACTGCATTATGTGTTTAATCAAGGAAGGCAAGAACACAAAGCAAGTGAGACACACGGCAATATATTACAGTATAATTTGGAAAAACAATATAGCCAATGGAGTAGCTACAGGCGCACAGAGGGAAAGATTAAGAACTAGTTGCCTGAATTAATTTAAAAATTGGGCCATTTGATATATACATGAAGTCAGATTTGCATAACTTTGATCTCTGGCTATGACGTCTTATCTGAGAAATCCTCTTATCAGTCCCCTGCATTCACACACCCCTGCCCCTTACATCTAGCACACAGGCTACAATCAAACATTGACTGAAGGAAGAAGGCTGCAGAAGAAGAATGTTGACTTACTGGTGTTACAGTTTATCCTGACACAGTCTAGATGGGGAGGGGAGAATAAGTGACAGATGAAATCGCATCCTTCAAGGTTACAGCTGCAGACATCCAAGAGCAAGAAAAGCCACCTTCCGGGGACGGTCACATGATGCCGGCGGCCATTTTTAGCTTGGTTGGCGACTGATGGTCAATGTTACCATGATGATGTTGTGCCAATATTGGTCAATATCACTGTATAGATGTCCGGTTGAATTTGATCGGACATGCATGTCAATAGAGGTCTGGGTACAATTATTCTATAGTTTGCATGTTGAAATTAATTTCAAAAAGGTCTTTTGCAATTCAATGGTCACATCGATTTTGCTACCCAGCAACTGGAGCTGAAAATATTATACTGCATTAATGTGAAACTGAGATATTTTAAATCATACGTCATTAAAAACTGAGGTCTGTATAAAAATCTCCACTCATACCCTTACACGGAACCTGTGTTTGGCAGGTGCAGGTTGAAATGTGACCAGGCTGCTCATGTGCCGTCAACCGCAACAGAAAAGTGGGAGCAAACTGCCTCGAGCCACGCAGCACCAACACCGTACAGAGGCCTGAAGACCCCCCTCTGAGGGGTCCTGCGCAAGGAACATAAGGCTCCGAGAATTCAATCGATTATGTTAGAATTGGAAATTTATTTAGAATTTCAAGTGGAACTGTTTGAAAAAAAGACCACATTGCACATTAAGAAACATGAAATGTGGACTCGACTTGGTCCATGTTTTTATCAGCTTTGGGAGCCTGGTATAATGGTTTGATAATATGCAAATTACAGATGTTTTATGTGTACCCACAGACTTTGAAAAAAAGAGTATCTACTCTTGGCTCACTGGTATAAAGGCCTGCACTCTACTTAAATGCACCACCCATGTCACCATCTGCAGGCGCGCTGGGTGCTGTGGCATCGGGCTGTTTGCCAGATGGGCCGCAGGCTCGGGGCCTTTGAAGGGGTGAGTGCCATCTTTGAACACGGCATGGTAGATGCCAGCTAGACCAAGGGTTACTAATGTACGGAGAGAAACATGAACCTGCTACCATGAGAAAAACAATCAAATAATAAGAGCACAGGAACAGACCCATGTGAGAAGAATGCAAACACTGAAATGTACGATCGCTTCTTACCTGCAGTTCTGAGTAGATGGCTGAGTATAATTTGGAATGTTGCTATCTGAATTGAGGTATGTGTGAGGACTATGCAATCTATTAAACGCTGTGTCTTTAGAGAAATCTATTTCTACAAAATAATGGGCATTACTAAAATGATCAATGATTTGTTCAAAAGATGCACAGCAGAGCATGATAACTTTGTTAAGTGTTAGATCGATGGATGCAAAAATCTACAAAGACAATTAAGCATCAAGGCAGAAAATCCAGGCAAGTCAAAAACAGTGCATGCAACTACAAAGACAAACTAGAAAAAAAATAGATTTAGTATGTGTTAGGTCTGATATCAAGTCTGGACCTTAAATAAAAAAGAATGAAAGCACAAAAACATTCCTCTTAAATACGAGGTGAGGAAAAGCCGACGGGGACGGTTTATACGATACCTAGGTTGACAGTCAGTTTCACCCTCCCGCTGTCCAGCTCGAGCCTCAGCGTGTCAGCTGACTCGCGGGATGTGGCGGCCATGAGCAGGCCAAAAGCCCGCTGGGACATGAAACGCAGGGAGACGTCCTCGGCCTCGGTGTGCATGACATTCGGCATCACCACCTTCATGTACATGCTGCCGTCGTAAGACAGGATCGAAGACTCTGATGAGAAGAGACAGAGGAGTTTAACTAGTGATGGTGATTTAAACACAGATAATGGGCCTATTATGTGTGTGTGTGCGAATATGCGTGTGTGTGTGTGTGTATGCAAATATGTGTATGTGTGCATTTGTTTTTCTGTGTGTGAAAAATATCAGATACCATCATACCAGCATAAAGACAAAGCTCTTTAATGCATATGCTTCACCTCCTTCTGATTGTGTTAATGCTACCGAAGCCTCCAATAAGATAAGATAAAAGAGAGCATGTGCTATGGAAGCACACACACACACACACAGTGAACTGAATATAAAGTTGGAACCTGCTGCATGTGTGCATGTCACCTGTATATTTTATCAACACACACACACACACGTCCCACATGCCCAGTTGCAGCTGTATTCATCATCCATCGACTGACAGCCGAGTGTCTGGGAGCTCAAGCTGCTGTAGTGCACACACGCTGCTCAGTGTGCAGAAAATTAAATCATCATGCCACTTCCTCCCTTTCCACTCCCCCCTCTGAAGCTGTTGGTTGGTGTCTTTACTCTAATTGTTTTGGAAATGTCAAATCACTTTGGCTCTCACGCCATACACAAAGAATTGTCTTTACACACTAGAGCAAGACAAGCAGTTTTGCAGTTAGATAGAGACAATAAGAAAACGTGGATCGTGCAGGTTTCAAGGCTGCCGAGCTGGACTGGACTGGATCCTGCACCTTTCTTAGTGGAAAAGGGAGGAGGGAGCAGGAGCTCATGAGGGCAAAGAAAGAGAGTAGGGCTGTCAGCAGACTGGAAGCCTCATGGGGAGAGAGAGACAGATTAAAAGGGTATCCAACCATGAAATACCTGTTTTGACACATCAGCTTTTAAAGAAAAAATAGCCCTCCGGCCTCTGAAATGCACCACCATTTGGCTGCATCCAGGGAAATGCTGAGGCTGTAGGTGAGCGTGACCCCAGAGACGGGTTGTACCTGTAAACGATGCAATGTCACATGTCACGTACTGCTCGCCCCTGCCTCTGCCTCTTTACATGAGGTTTACTGAATAAAGACTTTTTTCAGGTTGTTTGCAAATCTCTCTACTTTGCAGTGTGCTGCAGAGCAGAAACTGATGCCTGTGGTGACAATCCCGTCAACAACCAAGTTTGCCAGAATGGAAGAAAGGAAGCAACCAAGGCAGAAAACCTACGAGGAATCTGACAAAAGTGCGCGATGCTCCAGATGATAAAGACACTTAGCGTAAAGAGGAAGGATTACAGTCGGAAACGGAAGGGGATCAACAGTGAGGACAAACATGGATTACCACTGGTGTGGAGAGCATCTGAAAGAAGAGAAGGGACTGGTTGGCATTTGTAAAATATTTGGTATGGGTGTAGCATTTCATTTATCTAATTAATAAGCTAGAGTGACACTGAGTGGAGTTCATATTCTCTGTCTTGCAAGGTTAAAGACTGTGAAAAAAGAAAATTTATATCCTGTATCTGCACCAAAATGTAAAGGCTTCTTCTTTGGGTCATGCCCCACCCGTCCACAAGATGTAATGGAAATCGGTTGAGTAGTTTTTGCGTAATCCTGCTTACTTACAAATAAATAAACGCAGACACAAACACATCCTCTGTGGTGGAGGTGATTATTGTTTAGAGGCTGTGGGAATTTCTCTGTATTTGACAATGTTATTACTCTCCCTGTCAGTAGGGGGAGACAAATGCTATACGTCGCTGGCTCAAATGTCAAATCCGTAATGTGAGATCACTGAACCATTCACCTCACCAAAACGTGCCCTGCTTAAAAAAAAGAAAATCCCTTATTTGTCTGTGTGGCTTTACAGGCTAAAATCCATTCTACGAACAAGCTGTCGACTGTAGCCTGGAGGAAAATGAAACCTTGGCTCACTATTGTTCTAGTCAATTTTAAATTGCGCTGGCTATGTCCCTCTTCATGTCTCCTTTGCTCTGTCTCTCACTCACACATAAAACAAACAAGAAAGAAAACATGGGCGGTTCACAGATGGATCCCCAAACTGTCAGAGGCATATATTGATTTGTGAGCCTGGTCAGGTCCCAGGTTCGCACTACAAGAAGAACGAAAACGTGGGGAGAGTCAATCTGCAGCTTAGAAAAACTCAGAGACAAGAGGAGGAGGCGAAAAGCATGCCGTGATACAAAGTGTAATTTCCACTCTGGAGTTTAAGAGGACTTGGCACACACTTGGAAGTAAGTGTGTGGGACCTGCCCGACAGGTTAGAATAATAAACATCTGGAGCCAACAAGTGGCAGAAATACACAACAACGTGAATCCTACTTAGCATGTTAGCATTTAATCCATTATCTATAGGCCTAAACTTTGAGGGTTGCATGGGCCAACCCCAGTGAGCACTGCTCATTGTACATGCTCATAGTTTTGGTGAGGGTGAACTCAACAGATTTTTTTGCAACCGGTGAATGTTTACTGGTAATGTAAACTGAAAGACTTAATTTCAAACTAAATATTACATTTAAAGAGTGACTATCCCCTATGAAATCATGCAGCTGTAGTCCAAAACATCTTGCAATCCATAGTGTGTTATCTGTGCCACATTATATGCTAATAAAGTGAGGCAGAGCAAAGTTAGAGAAGTTTTAGTAGGGACCTCTAGTAAACACCTTAGAGTTGTTTCCCAGAGTTATGGACTAAAACAAAACTTATCGTGTCAAAACATCAGAGGTAAGAAATAAACTCAAACTTGTCTTTGATGTGAAGTATAATCTTTATCTTATTCGGCTGCTTCGGTGAGTGTTGGTCGCAGAAAGATATTATTGGAATCTGTGGAGTCTGGGCTTGTGTTGTTTGCTTGAAGAAGCATGATTGTCGGTAGCGGCCCTGTGGACCGTGTGGCTCGGGAACCTTCTTTCTGTGAGTGCCAACTACTGCACCATTGCTCCGCCCTGAAATGTCATTCATCTCCCAAAAAGAAATCAATCACATTAGGACTGATTTGCAGGTTTTATTGGTTTTAGCTGTTTAAGGTTATAAAAAAGCCTCAAGAATCGGTTTAATTTCATTGTTTGATGTTCCACCGTCAACACTGCTGTTGCTTTTCAAGTAAGCCACAGAATAATAGCAGCCAGTTTCAGAGATCTGTTTTGGTGCACATCATCCTTTTGGGAGGCAAAGTGGTCCCCATCACGTCTGACTGTCATTGATCACTCTCAGCAGGGATCGGCTGTGTCATAGTCAAATGGATTTTTATTGTGTTAGAAAGGAGAGGGGCTTTTTGGGTTGACTTCAGTTCGATGTATTTGATTCGCACCACATGACTCTCTCGGCTTTTCGTGGCTGTAAACCAAAACAGACAGAGGGCTTAGTTTATTCTGAAAACAGCCAACCACAGTCTATTTAGAACAACTGAGGGTTAGGGCAGATACTTCTCTAGAAATGTCACGATTGACGGGACAGAATCACTTCTCTGCTTCAAACACTTGTCGCTGTGTCAAATGTGCAGTATTTCTGCCCAAATAAATTAGACGAGTAGTCCATTTAACAATAATAAAACTCTACAACAACAAGAATAGCAGACACAAGATGGAAATGTCAACATCTTGCTACCCAAACCAAAAATGTTAATTTACTGGTAGTGACTAAATCAAAAGTCTTAATGCAACAGTAAGATCAAAAAATCACATAAGCTTAAGGGATTTTGTCAAAGGAGGCAAATCCAAAATCTCAATCTATTTCTTTAACCCAGTTTTATTTCTTCTCATCCAATATAGTCGGTTACTAGATCTCGCTAACTAACTTTGTATTTACAATGCTATTATTACCAACAGCAGTGATGGCAAAAACTACAAAATGTAGAATGGCACTCGGTAGATTATATATACCTCTGCCAAGGCCCAAAAGTCCCCTTAAAATGAATTAAGCCACATACGAATGTTACGCTGAATACACTCAAAGATATCAGTTCCCTAAATGTGCTTCTTTTTATCCCTGTTGAGTTCCATGAATTATTCCCTGGGAAATCTGGGATATGTCAAAAACATCCTGTATTACAATGTTAAAGAAAGTGAGGAAACAAATTCCTGGCTCTGCCACAATGTAATGGGTTCCTTCTTGGCCCATGTCCCATCCTTTCATCACTGAACATGGTTGTTGAGGTGAAGAGATTGTATAAACTTGTGTTGTATGACATCTAAATTTCATTTTAGGTATCTCAGACCTAACAGTCATAGTCACAGTATTATGCAAAACTTCACTAGTCAGAGGTACGAAGATGTAGAAGCAGCTGAGCGAGACATCACTTCATATTTCTGTAAAATTAAACATCAATCTCTGGAAATGGTGAAGGCTGCTGGTCTGATTATAGCGATTCATAGCTAATGAAAAGCTAATAATGAGCCTCAGCAAGATACTGCATGAGATTGCACTCCATGTAATCACAGTGTAAGTGCCTTCACAATTATATGGACGCAACATTACATCCATGAAACACACATATGGACACACACAGAGTGGCATGTACAGCAGCCGCTGCAACTTGATAATTCTTAAGTGAGAGATCAGCAGCAGTGAGGATGTCATTTCAGATGGTAATTACGCTGCTACTTGTCAGTCTGTGCATGTGAGTGCATGCGTGTATTTGTGTGTTTTTCAGCAAGCGCCGCACTTTACATAATTAGTAGTCCAATTGAAGCAGAAGATGGAGGAGGAGGGAAGCTATTAAGGGAGAAGCTTCACAAATGTTTAGGGTATAAAAAGGGGGAGTAGACCAGTGAAAGCTCTGACTGTGGATGCACACACACACGCACACACAGGCACACACACTTTAGTCCTGTTCAAACTCGGTAATCTGTTTTCTCTCTCTCCATTTTTCCTCTCTCAGTGCTCCCATTATTTACTTGCCTTGGCTGTGCTGAGCAGGATTATCTAATCTCTTTCTCCCCCTAACAGAGTGACAAGTCTTTGTTTTGATAAACAAACCAACAAGGGCCTTGACTGTCATTGTGGTGTTTTGTGTGAATGCCTG